ATGATTATTGCTACTTTTTATATATGCATTATGTATATCATGCATTTTGTATATTAGTACATAAATCTATTTTTACATAGAATCTACTGTCAACATCAGGAAATCATCTAATATTTTATACTACATTCTAGATAACAAGAAGCAATGACACATAAACCCTGGATTGTCTCTTCAATAGTTTAAAATTTAATATCTCCAGTTACATATTTAAATATTTTATATGAAGTATATTTTCCACATTATGATTTAAAGTCATAGATAAAGGAATAGCGTAAGAATACATTAGAGAAAGAAAAACTGGTAAAAATCTGCCAGTGTACTATGCTGTCAAAGAACAGAAAAAAATTAATGACCTTGTAATTTTTTAAATTCAGTATATGTATTAGTCCATTCTTGTACTGCTATGAAGAAATACTTGAGACTGAGTAATTTATAAGGAAAAGAGGTTTAGCTGGCTCATGGTTCCCCAGGTTGTACAGGAAGAGCCTCAGGAAACTTACAGTCGTGGTGGAAGGCAAAGGGGAAGCAGGAACATCTTACATGGCCGGGGCAGGAGGAAGAGGTGGGGAGGTGCTATACCTTATTTATTTATTTATTTATTTATAATTTTTTTATTTCCATAGGTTTTTGGGGAACAAGTGGTATTTGGTTACATCAGTAAGTTTTTTAGTGGTGATTTGTGAGATTTTGGTGTACCCATCACCCAAGCAGTATATACTGAACCCAATTTGTAGTCTTTTATCCCTCATCACCTTCCCACCTTTTCCCCGAGTCCCCTAAGTCTGTTGTGTCATTCTTATGCCTTTGTATCCTCATAGCTTAGCTCCCACTTATGAGTGAGAACACAGAATGTTCGATTTTCCTTACTGAGTTACTTCACTTAGAATAATAATCTCTAGTCCCATCCAGGTTGCTGCAAATGCCATTAATTCATTCTTTTTTATGGCTGAGTAGTATTCCATTGTATAAATACACCACAGTTTCTTTATCCACTCGTTGATTGGTGGACATTTGGGTTGGTTCCACATTTTTGCCAAAGTTTCTGCTATAAATGTGTGTGTGCAAGTATCTTTTTCGTATCATGACTTCTTTTCCTCAGTAGTGTGATTGCTGGATCAAATCCTACTTCTGCTTTTAGTTTTTCAAGGAATCTCCACGTTTTCCTTAGTAGTTGTTCTAGTTTACATTTCCACCAGCAGTGTAGAAGTGTTCCCGGTTTACCACATCCATGCCAACATCTGTTATTTTTTGATCGTTTAATTATGGCCATTTTTGCAGGAGTAAGGTGGTATCCATTGTGGTTTTGATTTGCATTTCCCTGATCATTAGTACTACACCCTTTTAAACAACAAGATCTGTTGAGAACTCAATCACTGTCACAAGAACAGCAAGGGGGAAATCCACCCCCATAATACAGTCACTTCCCTCCAGGCCCCTCCTGCAGCATTGGAAATTATACTTTGACATGAGATTTGGGTGGGGACACAGATTGAAACCATGTCAGTATAGGTAAAGTATATTATCTACATATAATCATTTGCATTTCACTGAATTTGAGACCCTCTTTGATAGGGCATTAAAATAAGTGACTGTCAAAAGTGGTACATGTAAAAAGATATTAATATATTGTCATGTACTAGATGTAAATTCAGCAGTTAGGATCTTGACATTTTCATATATTCCAAATAGTTTTAATTACTTTGGTGTTGTGTTGATCTATATCATTTATGTAGTAGACACATGTGCCTTTCTATTTTCACAGCTACATACATTGTTTGTTTCTAATGTTCATTGTTTTATACCTGATTCTTTCATTAGTTTTTCATACTCTGTGTGGTTTCTACACATGAGCACACAGTGCTTAGAAGGTTTGATAGAAGGCTTTCTTCCATCAGTTCCATACATTTCAATAATCATATTGCTTATTCCCTGCATGGGCCCTTAACATTTAACCACCATATTCCAGTTTCTAGTCCTAGGCTCAAGGCCATTTAAATCCATTTTCTGTGTCACTCATTACTTGTTTGGGTTTACAATACCTGTTTGTTGAATGAGTGTTTATCCTCAGTAGGATCATAGGCAAGGACAATGTTTTCTAAGTCTTACATATCCCTCCAAAACACCTAGTTCGAGTGGTAAGGCTTTAGGTTAAATCATGCTAGAAAAGAGATAATTTACTGTATTTAAGTATAATTTTAAAAAGCCTGTATTTATAAGCTTCCCTGGTAACCCATTCTAATAAATAGCAAATCAAGTTATTGATGTCTGTTTTGAGTCCATGATGTAGTAAATCTAAAATGGTTTTCTTCCTTTGTATGGTGATGAAGAATAATGTATTTATCACTGCCTTCTTTTAGTAATAACTCATATTAATAGTTCCTGATATATGTTCTAACATGTAACTTTTCCTCTATGTATTTCGTATATGTTTTACAAAGGGAATGAAATACACCTCAGTGCATTTTAAATTGATTTTTCACACTAATTTTCTAAAGCATCAGTCTGTTCAAATGTATCAGTGAGAAGAAAGCACACATTACTGTGCCCAAATAATAAGAAATGTCACACATGCCCCATCTTCTCTTGCTGTGGTCTTTGAAGGTCCCACATGTAAACTTATGTCTGCTTCCAAATTTTAATGGTTCATGACAAAGCAGAAGCAACATGACTGAATTTAATAGGCTCTATCTCCCATGATGCAGGACTGAGGTTAACTGATTATCTTTCCATCTGTAACACTTACAATGTGCCATTCAGTTCATTAGCATTACAGGAGAGCTAAGAGTTTAGTGAATTGTATGTGAGCAGAAGCCATCCATAATCCAAGCAGAGAAACCACGTGTTTTAAGACCATGTGAGATAGTAAGCTTTGTATAGTAAGGATCCTAAATGTAAATTGGTACCCAGGTAGTCACTTTTTAAAATCATCTTACTGGCTTAGACCATGTGTTATTGGTTGATTTTTGCTTTAAATTCCTCCCTAGCTGATGGTGGTACTTTGAGAAGCACTATAACAGTTTTTCTTGTTGTCATAGTGGACTTTTATTCATATATGTGTAAAATAACTATGCTAATGTGATTCAGTTGCTGTGCATTAAAGTGCTCTTGACTAGGCTCTTATATTTTATTTTTTTGAGGTGTAAGATCTGTTTGTCTCTATTAAAAGTCCTGTATATGCATTGATTTTTTTTTTCCTCATTCTTTTCATTAAAACAGTGTTTCTTGCTCATGCTGAAGGGCAGTGGTACAATCATGACTACGAAGTTTTGTTTTGTTTTGTTTTTTGATGGCGTATAATGTGATGTAATATTTTTGTTAAGTTTATTCATTTTTGTACTTGGTTTAAGACCTAGAATATTGGTTCTTCAACTCTCTGATTTCTATTTTTTTATTGTCTTATGCATAGCATGTATGTGTGTGAGGAGATTGAGTCGTTGGTATATGAGCGTAATAATTTAGAGAATGAATTAGGAAGTATCAAGAGTAGTAGATGAGTTTCTTTTAAAACACCCTGAGATTGTCTGCTGTAAATGTAAACAGTGACGTGTGTCACTTTGTTTTAAATTACAAAGCTGAAGTGGATCGACTATATCGTGCTATATCTTGGCTGGAGAAAGACTGTTGCCAGGGGGAGGTTGCTGGACTTGGACATAAAGGGGAGTCAGAATACAGACCTGTCAGTGTTTACCAGGACTGCCCAAAGAAGAAAGAGCACTGAACCTGATAGTCACGAATTGCAGTCATTAGAGAAACATTTGCTGTGGTTCATTTCTTATTCTATTCCATGAGCTTCCTTTTCCCACTCTGCCATCAAAACAGCTTTCACCAAGGTCATTAATGACCTTGTGTGTGAACTCAGTAGATCTTGTATCCCTCATCTACGTGACCTCTATGCAGCATCAACCAAAATTGGCATTTTATACCTCCCACTTTCCCTAATGTTTCTCTGTTTCCTTCCAGATCTTTTTCTATACATTTGATACAATTTGCAGAATTGGTATTATACCATTTTTATAACTATATCCCATTTACCACATTGCATTTTCACATGAACTTCAATGGCCATTATATAAATATAGCATAATCTTTAAAAAAAACCATAAAAGACTATAAAAGAATTACTCATTTTGAAAACTTACTGCCATAGAATAATGTATTTAAGTCATATTTTGAAACCATATATAAGGAAACAGAATAGTAGACAGAAGTTCTATAGTTCTAACAAGCTACTTAAAATTGGAAAATTAAGGCTGAGCAATATTTAATTTCAGTGAAATTGAACAAGGAGAACATGACCTTAGTTAAACCATTGGAACCTGTTCTTCTCTCTTTGTTTTCTTATCTTTAAAATAACAGGATCAAACTGATCTCTAAAATCTCTTTCATTGTAACATTCTGTGACTTGTGAATTAGTACATGCAAGAAGTTTGTATCTCTCTGGTCCATAATAGTTTGTTCTGCGATGGTTGTGATTATTATAGGTTATTGTATGCATACGTGTTTAAATTAATTTTTAAAGTACCCTGTTAACTACATTATTAAACTGTTATATGGGATAATTTTCCTTCTAGCAGAACCAAATCCCTGTCCTGTGAATTTATCTAATTTTGTATTGATTTATATAGACTGTAGGGCCTATAATAGCTATAGTAAATGATTTTTATTGACATTTGAAAGTCTGTCACGCATAGTGATTAGTGATTATGAAGCCATATTTTAATATAAAAATACAGAATATAGTGAAAAATTCATAATACTATACTCAGTAAAAACGATCCCTATAATCTGATGTCATACTGAAATTTTGCATCATTTCTCCTTTGAGTTCAGCAGTTTTGATTCTAGATTCTTCTGCCTAATGTGAGTTCTGAGTAATTTATTTTAGTTAAAGTTGTTTACTATTAAGAATGTTGAAAAATTATTCTACCGGTTCATTCACGTAGTTAATAGTCAAATCACACATTTGTCTTACTTAAATACATCTGCACTTATTTTACCAGTAACATATTTGGTCTGCGGCCTGTGGATTATACAGACGATGAAGATATGAAGTCACTATTGCTGCTACCAGAGAAGAATGAATCATCCTCAACCAGCCATTGCTCGGTAGTAAGTATGGATTTAGCTTTGGAACATTTATATATTTAATTAAAATTAGTTATGAAAGGAACATAATAGAAAAATTTCCAGTTGGCAAATTGCTTATATTCACAAACAGTTATTGAGCACTTCCTGAGTATTAGCTACTGTGGATTCAAAGACAGTGTGACCGTCTAGAAATACTTATTGAGCCCTCTACATTTTAGGCAGTAGTCATAAAACAATGAATATGACTTATAGAACTCTTATTCTCAGGGAAGAGCTTACCATCTGGTGAGAGGTAGGAAAGAGACAAAATGTAAATATGTGGACTAATATAAATAATTTGAGGAACTTAGATGTGATTGCTTTGAAGATTTGTAGAGTGTCATTGGATGGAGGTTGTGGGCTTCTGCAGGGCCATTGCTTTAGCAAGGATCACGGAGGAGGAGACTTAAAGCACTGATTTGAATTGAAGCCTGAATGTTGAAGTGAGGAGGTTGCCAGGTGACTCTCTGGAGGACACAAATGTATAGGCCCTGCAGTGAATCAGGCTGGTATGTTAGAAGGTTAGAAAGAAGTTTGTTATTGCTGGAGACTGGTGAGCATCTAAACAGGACTTTCGGATGGATCACATATGAAGTGTGGGAGAAGAGTGGAATTAGTATGACCTTAGCAATGGAGTAGATGGTGATGCCATTTGTTGCCATGGAGGAGGAAATCAATAGTTCTGTGTGCCAATTTGATGTCTGTAAAACATCAAATGGAGATGTCGAAGAGATCATTGTATGTAAAAGTCTGGAGCTTAGGAGAGAGGTACAAGCTAGAGATAAACTGGAAAGAAAGACTGTTTCTTAGAAATCCATAGCTTAGCAGGGATTTCAGATGTAAAAACATTTACTGTACATTGTAAAAAATTTGTAAAATCAGCTATAAAAATATACAGTAGAATCAGCATAAGTAGAAACTACAGGAGAGATCTGGAAAAATTTCACAGAAAGGCCAGGTATGGTGGCTCACACCTGTAATCTCAGTACTTTGGAAGGCTGTTGCAGTCAGATCACTTGAGGTCAGGAGTTCGAGACCTGCCTGGCCAAAATGGTGAAACCCCATCTATATGAAAAATAAAAAACTTAACTGAGCATGGTGGCATGCGCCTGTAGTCCCAGCTGCTAGAGAGACTGTGGCACGAGAATTGCTTGAACCGAGGAAGTGAAGGTTGCAGTGAGCCAAGATCATGCTACTGCACTCCATCCTGGGCGGCAAAGCAAAACTGTCTCAAAAAATAAATAAATAAAGACAGAATTTCATAGAAAAGGTATCTTAAGTCTTTCAGGGTAAATACTTTAGTGAAATATCTAATAAAATGCTGTTGGCTGCCAATAACAGAAAACCTTTTCTCAAATGCTTGAAGATAATTTATTACCTTATATAGAATTAATCCCGATGCAGGATAGCTCTGCATTTGTTTAATTTAGCACTTAGTGGTTGCAGCAAGGAACCAAATGCTTTGTATCTCTTTACTTGCCATCCTCAGTTTGGTGGATTTGTCCTCACTAAGAAACTTTCTTTAGTAGTTATAGGATGATGATTGCCACAATTCTGGATATAACAGTGGCCAACTGAAAAAGAGACACTAAAGTCTTTCACAGAAGCCTTGCCATGGACTTCCCTTGTGTCTTAGTGATCAGAGCTGGTCTGAAATTGGTTTTGATGTACCCTGGGACTGGAGATAAGAGTCAGTCTTTGAAAGGGGGTCTACCTGAACAAAGTGTGGAGGAAGTGAGCAATCGATTTTGAGTGGACAGCCAACATTCCCCCCTGCAGTCAGGTGTACAAAGTGAGAATGGCAGCCCAAATCTAAGGAACAGCTGCTCAGAGACAAAGAGGCATAAAGGACCTAAGGAATTTGAGAAACTATAGTGTTTACTGTACAGGAGCATGTAGTGTGTTAAAGAGGTAGTCAGGGCAGGTTGGGACCAGATTGTGAAAGGCCTTAAATTCTCCGATACAAGTTTAGACTTAATAGGGCACCTTCAATGTGTTTTAGACTGAAATAGGAATGTCTGCAGGATAGCTGGAAGTGAGAAGAAACTGAAGGCTGATTGGGTGGGAGGCTCTAGTAGTGGAGTCCAGGTTTGAAATGCTGAGGACTGGAATTATAGATGGTAGTTATGTGGGGATGGAGAGAAGAAGAGGGGTTTTCAAGAGAGTTGTTAGACTCACCATATCACAGTACTGCTCAGATGGAGGAAAATGACAGAAAGGGATGAGCTGAAGTCAAGAATCATTCATAAGAGTACTGGTAGATACCATTGTTTAAGATAAGGAGGTAGCCTAAGGTAGCTACAATTTGATACTCTCATAGATGCTTTCATGAGCTAGCTACTTGTGTATCTTGAAAACCCCACGTCTTCTGCTTTAGACTTCAACCTTGTAAATGTATTCCAAACTATAGTTTTGGTAATGAATTGGAAAAGAAGCTAGAAATCAGCAGTTTAATTTCCTTACTTTACAAATGAGAAAATTTGTAAAAATAAGAGGCTGTGTTTCCCCAGGGTTAACAAGCCATTAAAAATAAAAGGTTGTTTTTTTCTTTATTAAAGGACCAGTTAGAACTCACATTTCTTAAGCCTTAGGTCAGTATTCAACTCAGTCCCACCATACTCAGCAACTATAAATTGTTTTCTTCGTTCACATTGTGTTGCTTTCCCCTTTCAACTAGAATATACAGCTAGTGCTCGACTTACGACCACGATTGGTTCCGACAGACGGGTCGTAACACGATTTGGTCATAAGTTGAGTAAGCCATATGTACAGTACTGTGAAATGATGTTATAAAAATCTTTAAGTCATGTTTTATCATAATTTTCTTTCTTTATTGTTATATATCATAATTTTCTTTGTTCATTTTATGCCATTTGTATCATCTCTACACCATTTTGTTTCTTATTTTTACATTCATCAGGTTTAAGTAAAACACTGCATTACCAGTACAACTGGTTTAATATTTGCAAAACATACAAAATTACAAAATACAGGTGCATACAAAAATACAAAATACAGGTGTAAAAAAATACCATAGGAAACATTTTCCCAATTGCAAAACATATCAAAATATATAAACATGTATGAAACCTTTTATTGGCCGCTGGTGCTTGGCTGCAGATCGTTGATGTCGTCCTCTGAGGCAGCAGTTGGGGTTACCGGAGTTGGTTTTTTCATAAACATGGTGAGCTTTGTCTGAATTGTATGTTTCTTTTTTTCTTCATAAATTTCACGATACGGATGAAACACATCATGCGCCATCCGTTCAATCCTTGCAAATCGTTCGATGTTTGGGTCCAGAAATGTATAAGAAGTTTATTCAATAAAGATAAACTGATAATCACTTAGTGGTGAACTTTCTTTCTGGCTCCTCCTCTTCTTTCTTCTTCCGCCACTCTTTCTTCTTCCAGTTCGATTAGCTCTTCATTTGTAAGTTCTCCAGATTCTTTGTCTAGCAACTCTTCGACATCTTCCATTTCACACTCCAAAGAAAGGTCTTTAGCGAGTTTTACTATTTTTTCCCGAATCGTTCCAAGTTCATGTTCACTGTCAAATCCGTCAAAATCATTAACATAGCGCTGAACACAGTTTTTCCAGATGCCATTTATGCACTTTGATGTCACAGCCTCCCAGGCGGTAGTGACGTTCTTGATACACATCAAAATGTTGTAGTGTTTCCAAAAATCTCACAATGTTAGTTCTGAGTCAGCATCTATAGCGGATATTGCTTGAGCGAAGGTGGTTCAGCGATTGTTGGCCTTTAATGGAGCAATCGAACCTTGGTCCATAGGCTGGATGAGTGGAGTCGTGTTTGGCGGAAGAAAAACAAATTTTACATCTGGATGGAGATCGCCTAGATGTGGTGGGTGTCCAGGCGCATTATTGAGTAGCAATAAAATCTTGAAAAAAAATATCTTTCTCCAAACAATATTCTTGAACTTGAGGAATAAAACAGTTCATAAACCAGTCTTCAAACAATCATTGTGTCATCCATGCTTTATGTTGAGAACGAAAGTAGGCGGGCAGTGTGTGCTTGTTAATATTCTTGAATGCATGCGGGTTGTCTGATAAATTAAGAACAGCTTCAACTTAAACCCTGCGATGTTCCCCCCAAGCAGCAGAGTTCACCTATCCTTAAATGCTTTAAATCCCAGCATGCTTTTGGCCTCTTTGTGAATATAAGTGCGTGCTGGCATCCGTTCTAAAATAATCCAGTTTCATCAACATTGAAAATCTGTTCTGCTAGATATCCCTCATCTGTAATTAATTCATCCAGACTATCAACAAACTTACGTGCTCCTTCCTCATCCACACTCACTGCTTCTCCAGTCACTCAAACACTATGCATTTGGAATCTTTTCTTGAATCTCTGGAGCCAGCCAGTGCTTGCTACAAATTCTTGACTGTAATCTTCTCTAGCACGCTCCTTCAGAGTCTGAAATAGACTTCTCGCCTTCATCTGCACTGTAAAAAGACTTACTGGTGTCCGTTTTTGAATTTGATCCTCCATCCAAATATATAGCAATTTCTCCTTTTCATGGATGGGCCCACTTCGTTGCTTTGTTATAACCGTTGATCGCATGGGTGCAGAACCTTTCATGGCTTCACGAATTCTTTCTTTATCTTTCAAAATCGTGGACACCGTTGAGTGTGATAACTTCGTATCACATTCGATCACATTTACTTTCTTTCCTCCTTCGTACTGCTTAATTACCTTCATTTTCGTATCGAGATCAATGGCCTTTCTTTCCTACTTGGCAGACTAAGGCATAGACAAAGACAATTTCCTCTTGGTAGACATCTTGGGAGGGGTTTGATGAAAAATATCCAAGACACAAAACACAAATTGCTGTACCGAGTCTGGGATAACAGTTGAAATGGTGCACGCGGAGATGGTAGTGCTGCCGGAAGCTGGTCCGCACTGTCGTACGCCCAGCTGGGCAACGTTTGTGCTGCCAGACACGGAGCAGTCATGGCTAGCGATTGTGGTCGTAAAGTCGAATGGTTGTAAGATGCATAGGTCGTAAGTCGATCAAAACCTGTAAATGGTGTGAGGATAGGGACTTGTTCTTTTGTTTTCTGTAGTAGCCCTAGCATTGAGAACAGCGTTTGGCACATAGTGAGTGTGCAGTGTGTGCTGAATACATGTATGAGCATTAGAGTGTTCTTTATGATACAATCTTGCCTCTAAAACAAGCACAAGTGCTTGGTAGCTTAGTCTGCAATCCTTTAAATCAGTGATGTCCAATGAGCTGCTTTAGGGAGCATCATGCAGAAGGGAATGGGTTTTCATTTCTCTACTTCCTCTTTAGAATTTTTGTGTTTCAAGTAAAATGTAGTGGCTATTAGAAAACTGCGTTGGAAAGCAATCTCTAATCTTCTAAAAATTTTAAAAGCTCCTTGTCATTCATTTGAGACTTCTCTGCTCATGATTCATTCTGAGCAGCGTGCTTATCTTTTTAACTTTTTTCTAAATTTTTTAACCCCATTTTTGATGAACTTATTAGTAAAAACTAATGATTTTATCTAAGAAGAAGTACTCTATTTAATCTTTGAATTTATTGAATGCTAGTGAACATAGTATCTAATCTATGTAAAATCAGAGTATTAAACCCTTGGGGTGTGTTTTGCACCTCTTTTGAGCCTTACGATGTGAGACCTATGCTTATTCAAGTGAAATCCCCAGCCCCCATGCCACGCCACCCCAAATCAGACATGTGGCTTTGGCAGCTGTTTACTTTATGTTTTATTATAGCATTCTTTAACTATGAGAAATTAGTGCCCATTTCTATTTGTATACAACTTTTAAAAAGTATGATAGGAAAATACTTGACACACTTTGGTGCTTTCCTTGGGTTGATAGAGATAGTATCGTATGCTATATTTAGAAATGATATCTTTTTCACTTTCGTGTTTTGTACAGAGAACTAATTTAGCTGAAGTGGAGTTATATACATTGAGAAGTAATGTGTTCTATTTAGAGCTATTTTATGGTATTTGTGTAACTTACAAGAATTTCTAAAATACTGTAGTGTTTTTAAATATTAAAGAGTAATTGAACAATCCATAAAATACACTGAACTATTTATTTTCACGTGAGGAGTGTTTATAGCATTTAGGTTAGATGTGGTTACATCATCTTACAGTTTAGTGACTAGGAAAGATTAGCTGAACTTTTAAGTGCTGAATTCTGTCATTTATAAACACTTTTATGGAAATATATATATACTCATACATATACACACACATGTAAACACACACATATTGTTTCCTTGAGTCTTTAACTACTAAGCTTTAATGCTATCCACTGTTAGCTTCTCCTTATTTTTGACTTTTTTGTCGTCTATTAATTGTAAGCCTAGATTTTAAAGTGAAACTGTTAGTCTTTGTTAGAATACTTCTTAGTGATGAGCTGCATGGACTTCTTACTGTTTATGGATCTGATCTCCTAAGTTTTGAATTAACTTGTCTGTTTTTATCTTTTCCTAGTTTTGAGAGGATACTATTTTGATGATGAAAATTTGTTTTCTATCTTTGGGGTCAGCACTGTTCTAGAAGCTTTGGCATTCTTTGATTTTTTTCAGATAATCTCAGTTTAAACTAAACAGACCTTTTGAGTTTAACTCTATTGGGACAAGTTAGTGGAGGTGGAATAGGGAATTCCTCATTTTAAGTGGATATTTTGGGTTACTTGGGGAAAGAAAAAGACTTAGTGGTGACAGAATGAAGTAAAACCCTAGAGACACACAATTTAAAATTGAAGAAACAAAATGCCCTGAACAAGATAGAAACAAGATAAAACAAGAAACAAGAAGAAAGCTATCTCGACTGACATTTTCTTGAGGGAAAAATAAAGAGACAATTATTTAAAGTGTTCTGGGTATAGGATTCAATGGGAAATCACTGAAAATTATTAGTAGAGTAAACGAAGTAATGAAATTCAAGCTTATATCAAGTAAAGGTCTGTTTAATGTCTTTGTCTAGTGTTCTGATGTTAACACTTGGCATCTCCTTTTGTATTAACAGGTGAACACTGGGCAGCGTAAGGATGGACCTCTTGTACTTATAGGCAGTGGGCTTTCTTCAGAACAACAGAAAATGCTCAGTGAGCTTGCAGCAATTCTTAAGGCTAAAAAATGTACTGAGTTTGACAGCACAGGTGAGGATTTTGAATTTTTGGGGGGTAGAAAAAAATGTTAAATAGATGATCCCTTTGGAGAACTACCTTTGATAATTTACATATGTTTTAACCCTTGGGAGATGGCTATATATTTTGCATCTTGTAATAAATCTAAAATAATTTTTTCAGTAATAAACTACTTATAGACTTAATGTAGTTAGGAAATGTAAAGTTTAAAGTCTGCATATATTTTAGGACAAGACAGTATTTGAGAAGAGCAAATTTTTCACTTTGCTAATGACATAAATTGTAGCACAATGTAATGTCATAATCCCTTAGCTATGATTTGAAAATTAAATAAAAATTTGTGTTTGCTAATATGGCTTTAAGATACATGGTTTATGATCTGATTTTTTATATTGATAGCCAGGTTATAGAACTAGATACCAAATAGAAGAAGTCTTACACTTCAGTGTAAAAATTGTTGCCTTTGAAGAAAATTCAGATATAAGTTTACAAAATCTAGATTAGTTATAAAAAGCAGGCCAAAGAAGTATTTTGGTTTGTGTCTTTGTTTCTCTTACTGCTTTTTTTGTATTTTAGTAACTCATGTTGTTGTTCCTGGTGATGAAGTTCAAAGTACCTTGAAGTGTATGCTTGGGATTCTCAATGGATGCTGGATTCTAAAATTTGAATGTAAGTGTTGGATTTTAGAGAATTACAAAATGAATTAGACTAGTTTTATTTTTCATGGTTATTGATGCCCATGATTAAGGAACTTGATGTTAGTTTCCTTACCTCTGGTTGGTCACTGCATTTTGTAAAAGCTTCTCATATTTATGGTGTCATTTAGATGTCCTTTGTAAATGTATACACGTTATGTTCTGGTTTTAAAGTCTTTTTTCCTATAATACCAACTATTTCAATGCATGGTAAAATTTCAAGCCTAAGCAACCCATGTTACTGTTAAATGATATATTGAATTTAATAATACGTGTTTTAAATATACTGTGTAACAAGTCTGTGAGATGAAAGCAATTAATTGCTTTTTCTTTATGATTGCTTACCTAACATGGTTTTGGTCTTAATTTAATCCAGTATTTTTAGGAATCTGTTGGGAAACTGACTGCCTTGTACTGCTTGAGTTAGAGTGACTACGCCAACTATCTCGACCTCCACTGAAAATGTTTTCCTGTTCCCTTCTTGCTGATGGTCAATCCACTGACACCTTCCGAGCTGCCTGTCACCTTCTCTCCTGTCACTTGTTTAGTTTTCTTAACCTCAGATTCATTTGGGACTTAAAACAAAATGAAAAGAAAGCTCATACACTGTTATTTTCTACTCCTTAATCTTTAATGTATCTACTTTTGACACCATGGCTAATGTAGAACAGTGGATTGACCTTTTTTGTTTATTAATTGTTTACAAAAGATTAGCAGTTACAAAAGATTAGTGGTTACAAAGGAGTAACATGGGGAGCAATACAATTGAATGTCTTGATGTTAGTGGTGGTCATGTAACACAACTACCTGAGATAAAATTACACAAATAAGTGCATTTATAACTAGTGAAATCAGGCTGGGCGCCGTGGCTCATACATGTAATCCTATCACTTTGAGAGGCTGAGCAGGCAGATCACCTGAGGTCAGGAGTTAAAGACTAGCCAGACCAACATGGTGAAACCCCTAGTGGCACATGCCTGTAATCCCAGCTACTTGGGAGGCTAAGGCAGGAGAATTGCTTGAACCAGGGAGGTGCAGGTTTCAGTGAGCCAAGACAGTGCTATTGCACTCCAGCCTGGGCAACAGAGAGAAACTCCATCTCAAAAATAAATAGGTAGGTAGGTAGGTAGGTAGGTAGGTAGATAGATAGATATAGATAGAAAGAATCACTTGAACCAGGGAGGTGGAGGTTGCAGTGAGCCAAGATGGTGCTACTGCACTCCAGCCTGGAATGGAGTGCAGTAACATTGGACACTGGAAGAAAGGTGCATAGGATGTCTCTGTTCATGCCTTTGAAACTTTCCATGACGGTAATTATTTTTAAATAAGATGTTAAGAAAGAACAGTGGGTATATTTAATGAAACTTTTTTATGAAGCAACTGATGGATTAAAATTAGTTTATAAAAATGGTTTTATGGCTTTGTGCTTTGAAGGTTTTATGGTAGAATGCTTGATTTATCAAGATCTTAATCATATTATTAATTTAATCTGTAGTTTAAAGTTGATTTGGTTTGTAAAACAGTTTCATCAATTGGTATTCATGTCATTTTCAAATACAGCTTCCAATTCTTTTCTTGCAATGCTAGTCTCAACCGGTGCAGTCTCATCCAGCTAAGAGGCTGTGACTAGCAATGCCACTCCATCTGTTCTCACCAGTCTCTATTAATTAGTCTCTTCTAGTTAGGACGAGTTTGAGACGTATAAGTAATTGGACTAATTTGTCTCACTTGGTTTTGAATTTTCTTTTTCCCTTTTAAATCTATCAAAGTCTTATTGAGCCTCAGTGTCTAAAAAATTCATTTAAAATGGTTTCCTGATTAGGGATTCTTTTGTATCAAACCTTTACCAGAAACCTTTCCAGTGGTTATAGGAAGAAATAGATTTTCTTCATAATAAGGTCGCAGTAATAAAGAAGCCATACGAAATTTTGAGTGTTAAGACATTTACTACTTAACTTTTGAGTCTAGTTCTTGTGCATATACTAAACTGCCGTTTGGTTACATACACAGGCTACATGATTCATTTCCATAAAATCTACCTTCTTTGGGAAATGTAAGTTTTGTCACTTTAATATCTTGGCTGTATCATTTTTATAGAACCACTGATGGACTCAGACTAACTTAATAGTGTGCTAGTTGGTGATTCTCACAGTAGTGAATAACATCCTCTAATAACGATGGTTCTTTTAGGAGAAAGGATGGATGGAATCCCTTATTGAAGTTCGTATCCTCACATTTTTTAATATAGAGTCCAAAGAGAAATAGGTTCAAAGTTTGAGACAATTCCTTTAAATAGTCACTCAGTTTACAAAAAGGAAGCAAGAACCTTCAAATACTTCTTTCCTGGTGTATATTTCTCATAGTTTCTATACTGACTGTTCTCAGTGTCAAGCATCTCAGTTTTATTTTTGTTTATTTATTTTTTTGAGACAGAGTTTCGCTCTTGTTACCCAGGCTGGAGTACAATGGCACGATCTTGGCTCACCGCAACCTCCGCCTCCTGGGTTCAGGCAATTCTCCTGCCTCAGCCTCCTGAGTAGCTGGGATTACAGGCACGCGCCACCATGGCCAGCTGATTTTTTTATATTTTTAGTAGAGACGGGTTTTCACCGTATTGACCAGGATGGTCTTGATCTCTTGAACTCATGATCCACCCGCCTCGGCCTCCCAAAGTGCTGGGATTACAGGCGTGAGCCACTGCGCCCGGCCCTGTTGTTGTTTTTTAGGGGACGAGGTCTCGCTCAAGCAATCCTCCAGCTTCAGCCTTCTGAGTAGTTGATACTACAGGTGCATATCACTACACCTGGCTCAGTTTGATTTTTAAAAATGTTTCAGAGCTATTCAAAACTATCTGAAAACGATTCATATTAAAAGATGATAGGTGGACCAAAGCTTTCAAAATTAATTGTAAAGATGTATGACTTTTTAAAACCAGGCCTAGTGTTTGAGTCTGTCCATTAACTTGCTGGTTAATCCAGTAAAACACACAACTTTTACTGGATTAACTTTCCAGAAACTTTTATATAACCTTTCATGGGATATTTCATAAACCAAATAGATTCAAGAGGAATTTTATTCACTATTTTCTCTGTAGATAATAAACTCATTTTACAGACTAAACAGTTAAACAAAAAGAATTATACAAAAGCTTGGGATTCATTGGGTCCAAATTTAACTACGAGCAGTTTTCTGTGCAAGTGTCTGTCTTAATTGGTTAATATCTCTTATTTTCTTACATTATATATGCATAGTATCTTACAGTGCCACAATTAATGGGCTTAGCATGAAGATTCTGAGACTAAGCCATAATTTTACAGGCCATCCAGTCTGTCTTATATTGCTTTTACAGATATTTTACAGAATGATAGTTATCTTACATTTTACAGAAATAGGAGCTAGGGCTAAGAAAAGTCCCTTCTTCAACATCAAATTTGGGGGGAGAACTCTACTTGAGTCCTAGTTTGGGCACTAATTTCTCACAAGCCATTAGGAACTACCCTCATACAAGGGTGATTTTGATATTAAAGAGGTGATAAGAATGAAAAATAGAAGGTATATAAATAAGTCATTTTATTACTCTCATAGAGTATGAATAAGATGAAACTGTATCCTAAAGATGCAAACTAGGCCAAAATAAAATGTTTTCTATTGACTTGTTCTTTGAGTACACCGCTTTCAAAATATTTTTTTATCCTGGCCTTTTTTCTAAAAATTTAAATCTGCATCCTCTCTTTTTGCCTTATTATAAAGAAGAAAACAGATGGCTGTCATCTTTTCTTTAATAATCTTTCCCTCTTCTCCACTCTCATCTAAGTCTAAATAAAATTGCAGCTGTAGAAGTTGTAAAATTCTCCAGCACCTAAGGGAATTACTGAAGGAATGTGCCAGACATTTTACACTGGATTTATGTCTGTGAGATGGGGGAGAGCTAAATTGAGTGTTTTTTCGTTTTTGCTTTAGCTGAGAAGAGATGGACCCTAGAAGACAATCATTACGTCATCATTTAATAAATGACCTCATAATCAGGCTAACAGATTATTGTTTTCAAACAAGTTCTAACAATTTGCTTCTTTAAATGGATACTGAGAGTACTATGGAATTTTAAAATTAAATACAACTTTATTCTATATAAACTTTGCTAATTATAAAAAAAAAAAATACCAAAGCATTCCTATAAACTAAGATGATTAGACAACTTTATGCTGACAGAGGCCTTCGCCAAAGACTAAGAATAAAAAAATTAACATCCTTTGATCTAATAGTCCCAGTTCTGAGAATTCACCCTAAGCAAAAAATACAGATGAAAGAAAAAGGATTTGTAGTGGTACTTCTAATAGCAAGAAGTAGGTAATATAACCTAAATATGAAAGATAAAGAAAATTCTGAAATGCTTGAAGATATTCTCTGGAAAAAAATTCATATTTTTATATGATAAATATTAAGACTAAAAGATGAAAAATAAAATTGTTTAAATTTTAAACATATTAAACAATTATATCTTCATTCAAATGTATGTAAATGTGTGCATGCATGTGAGTAAAAAAATAAAGAGAAACAGCAGTAAATTGTTGGGTTACTAAAGATTAGGCTATTTGTTTATAGCAGTTTTAAAAATAATGTGTGCCTGTTAGATCAAATTTAAATTCTCTAGGAATAAATTAATACATTCAAATTTTCAAGTTGTAATAATAATTGGAAGTATTTTCACTTTCCTTTTCAAGATTAATTGGATAGGTTAGGGCTTTGATCTTCATTAGGGAAATTAGAACCTGCATGTATTTATTCTTCCCATCTGATATACCAGGTCTTTTATACCTGTTATGCATACGCAGCAAATACATTTGATTATGGTGATTGTCCTAGTTGGAACAGAAATTTTTACATAAAAATTTGATCTTCTAGTATATGAGAAAAAAGAACACAGAGCATGAGTTTTCTAATAATTATGAGAATTTTTGGACATTAGACTGTGTT